CGTCTTTAATGCGTCTTTGATGCGTCGAAATTGATACAATCTGACCTGAGAATCGATGAGCGGTGTAGTGAGACACGTGGCGGTCGATCTGACCTGAGATCGATGAGCGGTGTATAAAATGAGATGTGTATATAGTCTGAGTAAATGAGCGGCAATTATATTAATTGCCGTCCTCTTCGATGAATCGCCCGTGAGCCGGTGAGACACGTGGCGGTCGGCACTCGCGCACATGTGAGCCTGAGTCGTCGTGTTGATGTACCCGAGTAGAGCTGGATGAGCGGTCGCTTTACATGTTAATGCAGTATCTCGGAAGCTGTTGTAATCACTGCGGTGGGCACTTCAATGTGTAGTCACAATCGTAAATGCACAGAGCACACGTTGTGCGTCTGATCACTGCGCGGCCATTTGTACAACTCTGAATATCGCGAGGAAGACGTTGGCGATGAGCGCGCCCGTGCGTGCGCCAGCTGTCGCGGTGATCGGGCGTCGATACCCGATCAATGCTGCCATCTGATCGGACGGCGCAACGTTAACGGAATCTCGAACATTCCGCCCGCCATCAGCAACCTTGTTGATGATTCCTTACTCTTGATCCTTTATTCTGAGATTGGCCGAGTGAGTTTCGTGGTGGCCGTCTTAAGGGTAACCACCCTAGTGAGCCCATCTTTGCCAGGGTGCAGGTCCGTTACTCTGGCGAGTGGCCACTTGCACGGTGGAGAGCGTTTGTCGGTGAGCAGCACGATGGAACCTACCTTGATGCTGTTGTTAAGATGATGCCATTTGGATATCGCCTGCTGGCGTTGCAGATAATGAGCCGACTCTTGTGCCCAAACATGTTGAACATGCTGCTGAATGAGCTGCCACCGAGATAGTCGTGAGGTTGCTAGGTCAATCAGAGATGGCTCGAGCATGATAATGATTGGACCTCCAATGAGGAAACCTGGTGTGAGCGCTGAGACGTCTTCAGGGTCGTCACTCAGCGGTTCTAAGTGCCGCGAGTTGAGAATGTCCTTGTTTTGCGTAAGCAACGTTGTGAGTTCTTCCGTCGTGAGTAGAGTCTCCCCGATAGTCCGTCTCAGATGAAACTTCAGACTTTACTACCGCCTCCCACTTGCCCCCCATGTGTAGAGCGCCTGGTGGGTTGAACTCCCATCCTGTGTCATTAAATTGTAAAACTTTAGCAATCCGTGATGTTCTTGAGAGCCCTGGATGAACATTTTCTTGAGCGCGGCGTCTGCTCCAATGAATGTTGTCCCGCAGTCCAAATACATGGTCTGAGCAATTCCCCTTCTAGCTGAGAATCTTCGGAAGGCTGCTATGAATCCTTCTGATGGGTAGTCACTGACTACTTCGAGGTAAATTGCGGAGGTGGAGAAGCAGACGAACACAGATCCCTTCCTTGTATATTTTCACACCTCGTCCCTTCCATGTTTTGATAGTGAGCGGTCCGGCATAGTCAGCTCCTGTATGAGTAAACGGACGTGACGGCGTAACCCGAGAGAGAGAGGTAGTTGGCCCATTAGTTGATGAGCACGGATCCCCCTCTGCCGAGCATACACGACACACCGTGAGGTATGAGACTTCACCGGAGCCCGTCCGCCGATGATCCAGTACTGTCGTCTGACATGAGCCAATGTCAGCTGTGTTCTTCCATTCAGGGTGTGCAAATGGGCGTGGGCGATGATTGAGGTTGAGAACCGTGAGTGGCGAGTTAAAATCGCCTAATGTTTGTTGTCTTGATCCAATGTTGGTTTTGATTGAGACGGCCACCAACTCGGATGAGTCCTTGAGCGTCTATGTACGCAGTCAATCGACTGAATGCGTGAGCAGTTGGTGATCTCGAGTTGGCCGTGAGTATCTTGATCTCGTACGTGAAGTATGCCGCTTGAATAGCCTTGATCCAGAAAAATCTGGCATTCTCCAAAGCAGAGTGCGAGTCCAACGACCCGTCCCAGAACCCTCTCAAGAGAGCGATAAACCTGAAACAGAGAGCTGTTATTTTCAATAATTTATTGAAGGTTGAGTACTTGAATATGAGATCCCAATGATAGTTCGGCTGAGATGCAGCTGCATATAGAGCAATGCCAGGACGTGCCTCATGACCGTTCAATTTGTCCGGAAGCGCGGGTTGAGATGGCCATGCTTCAGGTGTGAGAATCCATGGTGGTCCCGTCCACCATAATGAGTGGCTTTGAAGTTGAGCAGTAATTAATCCTCGTGATGCGCAGTCGGCTGGGTTGGACGTACCTGGTACGTATTTCCAATGTGCGTTCGCAGTGAGCTCTTGAAGTTGAGAAACTCGATTTCTCACGAAATCCTTCCAGCGCGATGCATGAGATTTGATCCACGTGAGTGTCACAACAGAGTCCGTCCACAGGTGAGTTGCTGTAACGTTCATCTTCGAGGTGGCTTGAACGTATGGCATGAGTCTTGAGAGCAGCAATGCTGCGGTGAGTTCAAGTCTCGGGATGGTGAGCCGTTTGAGCGGTGCTACCTTCGTTTTGGAGCACACCAATGAAATCGTGGCGCCATTAGAGCCGTGGACGGTGATAAATACGACTGCAGCCATTGCCAGTTGAGACGTATCAGAAAAGCCGTGAAATTCCACTGACGAGGTACTCCATGTGGTTTGAGAGGTGCTACCTTGGATGTATCACCGAGGTATTGAGAGCTTGCAAGCTTGTGAGTTCTTTTCTGATAATGAGCCACCGTGATGAGAGCTAGGATGGCAGTGGTTCATCCCATTAGAGCTTCATGTAGCCAAAGCTCCTGCAAGAGCATCTTCGCCTTGATCACCACTGGTGATACAAAGCCCAATGGATCGAGTATCTGAGCCACTTCAGACCAAGCGAGGCGTTTGGTGAGATGATCGGTGTGCGACGAGATCCTTGTTGAGAATGTGAATGAATCTTCTTGAGGAAGCCATCGTAATCCGAGTCTTTTGGTTAAGCAATCGTCAATGTAGGTTGTGAGCCCTGGTCCTGTTCTGCTTGAACCGCAGTGAGTACGTCTTGATGAGTCGCGTGCTACCTTGCTAATGGGAAGCCGCCCGCCATGCATAAATCCGTTGAGCAGTATTGACTACCTGCTGAACGGTGTCGTCGCCTCCAGAATTGTCATCAACATATCGACCGTTGTTAGATGATATGGCACTTCATTGAGTTGTTCATCTATCCAGTGAGTCCGTTGTAACTTTCAGTCATCTTCATGCACGTTGATCTGCCTATACCCTTTGGTGATGTCAGTGGCAACTAAATGCCGAACTTGTCGAATTCAGAGCAAGACATCGGTGATGTCGAAATGCAGCTTGGCTCCTGTGTGCATGAGATCATTAAGTGAGCGGCTGGATGTAGATGCACTCGAGCCATTAAATACCACACGTCATGTTGTGGTTGCACTGTCTGGTCTGAGCACTCCGTGATGTGGCAAATAATATTGTGTGAGCTGACTGGAAACGGTTGAAGCATTCTTCATGTGATTGAGCTCTTGATAGAGTATTATAAGCTGATGATACAGACGTCGATAGTTGTCATCTCGTGAGTGTCTTCTTCGTAAACCTGTCAAATATCGATGCGCAGTGAGATACGAATCGCTAAGAGTATCCGGTGATGATTTCAGTGTAAGTCGAACTGTGTATCGACCTGTTGAATCCCGTGAAACAATACTCTTGAAATGTTCTTCACATCTTTGCTCGTCAGGAGTAAGATCAAGCTTGTCGCTCGCAGTCTCTTCTTCTTGTATCCAGATTTCGCCAGCAAGTCGTCAAGAACATCTTCTCCCTCCCGAACGGAGGCATGATGCACGGTGGCAATTGCCGATGAGGATGTATTAACAGGTCCGAAAACGAGCTATCCGAAGAGAGCTGCGCAATTGGCATCAATGTATCTCGTTTGATGATGTTGGGCTTGATGATCTGTCCACATGAGTCAGCTCCAATGATGATATCCACTGACCGTGGTGTTAGGAAATCTAGATCAGCCAAGGTTAACTTGGGGAGATGTGGCTATTCCTGGGGTGCCGCGTTGAATGATGGCAGGATGTTTGTTAACGTCTGCAGAATGTGAGCTTGAATAATGACGTCTGTTCTTGAGTAAAGTGAGCGGAGCGTAAGCAATGCAACTCCTCGAGTTTTGCGTGGACTTTCCGCCACCAATTCCAGTAATGAGAATGACGGAATGATGACGAGTGATGTTGAGCTGGCGAACGAGAGATTCTGAAACAAAGGTAAGTTCTGAACCTGAATCAATGAGAGGCCATACGCATTGAGTATGAACAGATGAGCTGATCTGAGCCAGGGCCGTAGCGAGTAATGTTGAGTGTAATGAGCGGGCCAAAGATGAGTGAGCGACGATTGCACCATCTTCCTATTGAGCTGACGCAGCTGAGCTGGTGATCGGCTTCGCTGATGAGTTCGACTGATAAGCCTCATGCAGCATCGTGTCGGTTGGTGCACTTCTTGCACCCCCGTGAGCCTTTACATGAGTGGCCGTTGTGGCGGCCGAGGCATTTGAACCAAAGCCTCCGTGGTATGATTAGTTTTTGTCGATCGCCTGTTGAAAAATCTCTAAATTACGTGCACATCACAATGAAGTGAGTGCCGTTGCAACAATCGCACGGGTAAATTAGATGTTGCGCGGCCAAGTGCCAAGCTTGCCATATTACCCATTTCATCCGGCTCGAAGGACCAAATGTTCGCGAAATCGCTGATTAATCCCGGCGATGGAAGCGGGATGAGAAGGACGCGCGTGGAAGCTGTTAACTAAATATTCACTTTATTTTTGTGTAACTCAGACCACAGTCTGAGCCGTCTTTAATGCGTCTTTAATGCGTCAAAATTGATACAATCTGACCTGAGAGTGATGAGCGGTGAACAAAATAAGATGTCTATATAGTCCGTGTAAATGAGAGGCAATTATAAGGCAGACACGTGTAAGAAATGCTGCACAAATCGAGAACGTTCGAGAGACGCGTGAGAAAAACACTATGCGAATCAAGAGTCTACAATGTCATGTATTGAGCACGTGAAAATGTTTATTTACACTCGCGGGAGCGCGTGAACATGCTTTCGTAACACTCGCGAGCGCACGTGAGAATGTCTGTCCTTCACTCGCGAAAGCGCGCGATAATGTCCACGTGGCATGTCGTGAAAGGCATGCCCTGTTCACATGATCTGTGTCCAAGCTACATTTTAAGTTCCACGCATCCGGCTCGAAGGACCAAATGTTTGCAAAATCGCTGATTAATCCCGACGATGGAAGCGGGATGAGAAGGACGCGCGTGGAAGGTGTTAACTAAATATTCACTTTATTTTTGTGTAACTCAGACCACAATCTGAGCCGTCTTTAATGCGTCTTTGATGCGTCGAAATTGATACAATCTGACCTGAGAATCGATGAGCGGTGTAGTGAGACACGTGGCGGTCGATCTGACCTGAGATCGATGAGCGGTGTATAAAATGAGATGTGTATATAGTCTGAGTAAATGAGCGGCAATTATATTGTTACGCTCCGTTCGCTATTCGTGTCGCGCGCACTCACGAACGCGTCCGCGTACTTCCGGGATCGCAGAAATAACCACTCTCGTTATACAAAAAGGAACTCGGGTTTATTTAAACTCAGAACGGAATACAAGAAAGTTCTGGGAAACCGGACCGAACGATTCGAGTCGCCAGATCAATCTGACAGGCGGTAATTAAATCAATAATTCTATGCGTCCCCGTTGTCAAGAGACGCGCTTCGGCTTGAAACTTCTGCGGAGCGAAGCCAATTTCAGCCCACGAGTACAAACGTCTCGGCACGGGCGAGCGGGCGTAACACTGCCCCCCCACTTCAGATTGTCGTCCCGACAATCCAGAGGGGCAGTTTCCTGACTGGGCGAACTTTTCTGTACGATTCCAGGGTACCGGGACGGCCCCCTGCCCTACTCTGGGCTGCTGCCACAGGTTACCGGGCACCGTCCTCTTCTCGGTCCCAACCGTACTCTGGAAGTCCAGGATCATGTCCTCTTCACGGCTTCCTGCCCTACCCTGGGCTGCTGCCACAGGTTACCGAGCACCGTCCTCTTCTCGAGTTCAGGATCATGTCCTCTTCCTCATGGAGCGAGTCCCCAATCGACATTTTCCGGAAGAAAATACTCTCTCCCACCTGCCGACTCCAGGGCGACCCCTCATCAATTCCCTCGCAGGAGATCTCGCCTCCCAACACAGGCCTCTTCCTCTCAGCTCCAGAAGTCGTCGGAGATGTCGCTGCTCCTCTTCTAAATCTTCGGACAAGGAGGGGGAAGCTTACCGTGGACCCAACGTCTCGAAAGACTCCCCAAGTCCCTGCCTCGGCATTTGCCCTATGTCTCACGGAAAAACCACGGATCAAACAACCGTGAGAGAGGCAGTCTTATCCTTCGCCGGTATTAGGTTCGGCAACAAGCCAGCTCCCAAGATGTCCAACTCGGTGAGGAGTTACGACCGCTTCGGCTTCCGTAAATATCTAAGAACAAAATAACACGCGCAGTAAACAATGCAACACAACAATCTTAATTTCTACCGTAATTAACCTTCCCCGCAAATCATTACACCCAACCTAGTCCATAATATCCCTATCAAACTCTAATGTCTTTCGGAAAAAGAAGCCAACCTATCCGCATGCACAATTTTCTTCTTATGTCTCACAGATCTTTGAATACAATAGACCACATCATTTAACTTTTTCACTATTAAGAAAGGTCCTTCCCAATTGCTCTGCAATTTAAGGGCTCTACCTTTCATCCTACGAGGATTATAAAACCAAACTTTCTCCCCTTCTTGAAAAAGAGTTTGCCTGGCCTTTCGATCATACCAAGACTTTGCTCGTGAAGACTTTATATCCATACGTTCCCTAACGTTGGAATGGATCTTGTCCAACTTCTCTTTCAAATTCCCAATAAAACCTTCAACTGACTGAGATCCTCCCCTCGGAGGACTTCCTAAAAGCAGATCTAACGGCAACCTAAGATTTCGGGCAAAACACAGCTCGGCGGGAGTTACTCCAATAGTCTCGTGTTTAGAAGATCTGTAAGCCAATAAAAACATAGGGACCCAGCAATCCCAATCTTTCTGATTTTCAGAAATATACTTCGCCAAATAATTAATAATAGTCTGATGTTGCCGCTCGACTTGTCCATCCGATTGCGGATGTAGAGCAGTTGTTCTCGTTTTCCAAATTCCAAGGAGATTCATCAATTCCGCGAAAAGTTTGGACTCAAAATTCCTCCCCTGATCCGTATGGACTTCTAAAGGGACCCCGTGTCTAGAAATGACTTGATTAACGAAGACTTCTGCCACTGTACTTGCCCTAATATTCCTGAGAGGAAAAACTTCTACCCATTTGGTGAAACAGTCAACAATGACGAGGAGATATCTATTTCCGGAAGTAGTAATAGGAAGAGGGCCAAGTATGTCCATTTGTAATCTTTCAAATGGGGCCCCAACATTATAAATTTGTAATGGAGACTTTCCCTTCCCCAAAGGGCCTTTTTTTGACACACAAACTTTGCAAGTTTTGCACCATTCCTCCACATCTTGTTTACAGGTAGCCC